CTATAGGAGGTTTGTTACTACTGTTAATTTCTGGGTTTTATCTGCTATTCTTCCCAGAAATACAGTATAAGCAAGGAGGTTTACCATCATAAGACGTGCTATAGGAGGTTTGTTACTACTGTTAATTTCTGGGTTTTGTCTGCTATTCTTCCCAAAATACAGTATAAGCAAGGATATATGGGAGGTTTACCATCATAAGACATGCTATAGGAGGTTTGCTACTACTATTAATTTTCTGCTATTCTTTTCAGAAATATAAGTAAGGGTAAAGAAATAATTAGTAATTGCGCAGCGTAGTTTTTTTTTTTTTTAAAATAAAAAAATAATGTAAATGTAATATGAGCTTTTATTGTATACTCTTGAAAATATTTTATTAAAAGTATCACTAATAAAGCAGTAATTATTGTTTTATACATTTATTTAATCACTAAATCACTATATATATCACTAAACATTTCATCACCTTGCTAAATATTTAATTGCTTCGCTAAACACTTAATCGCTTTGCTAAACATTTACCTAATTACTTCGCTAAACACTTAATTGCTTTGCTAAACATTTATTTAATTACTTCACTAAATATTTAACTAATTACTTCACTAAACACTTAATTGCTTTACTAAATATTCACCTAATTACTTTGCTAAACACTTAATCACTTCACTAAACATTTACCTAATTACTTCACTAAATACTTAATCGCTTCACTAAACATTTATCTAATTGCTTCACTAAATACTTAATCATTGTACCAAATTAAAATGTCATTAAAACCTAAACGTGGCAGAAAACCAGGCCCTATTTGGGATCATTTTGAACAGGATGACTTAGATAATTCAAAGCATTTTCAAGCAATATGTAGTTATTGCCGTGATCCAATATTGGGAGTTCCTGAAAGAATGCTTAACGACTTAAAAGAATCTTGTAAAAAAAATTAGAAAAGAAGTACAAGATACTTTAGATAACATTAAAATTAATAAAAAAAACCATACCAAAAACAAATGTATTCGAGTTAATGTTACTTCAGATGAAGAAGGCAATATTACTGATTCGGATTAAACCTCTTCATTAAATAATAATCACCTAATTCATCAACAATTATTAAGAGCTCTTATTTTAGCGAATGTTCTATTTACCTTTGTAGAAAATGAAGAGATTAAAAAATTATTCAAAATCTACAACCTTTATATGCTTTACCATCTCGAAGATGTATTAGTGCTAAAATTTTAGATAATGTATATAAAGAAGTAGAAATTGAAATTCAAAAGTTCGTCGACAACTCTAAAATTTTAACTTTATCAGGGGATGGATGGATAAATGTTTCAAAATGTAGTTTAGTTAATTTTATTATTACAAATTAAAAATAGCTAAGTCAAATTTGGAAAATTTCTGATTTTTCAAACCAACACCATACGGGTAATATAATGTTTGATGCCTATAAAGAAGTAGGAATGTCATTAGATAATAAGTTAATTGGGTTTGTGTCAGATAGTGGTTCAAATATGGCAAAAGCATGACAAA